CATTAGCAGATAGCTTTGAGAAGAAAGAACACTCATGGTATGACACTAGTATCGTTCAGGCAATCAGCTCTCAATCCACCTGGTTAGGAAAAGGCCATGGCGCAACTTGAAAACTTATTTATAAAAGACAGCTAAAGTACTAAACTAAGTCTATGTATCCTGCCAAATGTTTTTGTTTCCTCTGTTTTAAGTATGTCATCTTTGTCATCACCTTTTTTTTCTTCTATTTCTTTTGTTTTTTCTCCTTCGTTGTCTACTGCAGGTTTGTGACTTCTCAAATCCCAACAGACCTATCAATTCAGATTCAGGACATAACCTTCAACGTCCACAAGGTAACAAACAAACAAGAGAGTATATGGCCTAATATCCAATGCAAAGCAAGAGAGCAATTTAACTTCATAAACACACTTACAGACATGCACTCACACACGCGCACGCGCGCACACACACGCACACTCGCTCTCTCTCTCTCTCACGCACAAACACAAACTAGATTCTCAGGATTTACAGAACATATAAAACTGGAAAACTACTGTTGCTAATTTTTCTGAAGTGGACATCTCAAGGTTCTAACAGCTCATAAATTAGAAAAATATCCTTGATAATATTTTCTTCATTATGACGGGAAGAACAGTGTTTATGTAAGAGAAATGCAAGTATTTTCAGTCAAAATATATTGTCATTACCTTAGCTACATCGTCTCTATCTCCTGAACAGTATCCCCTGGTATCTAAATGTGGCTACATCGGCCGATTGGAACATCAGCCTTCCATCTCAAATTTTGGATATGACCTGAAGCTTGAAAATTTCCCAGGTGGACCAGAAACATTTGAGACAATCCTAAAATTCTGTTATGGTCTCCCATTGGACTTGAATCCTAACAATATTGCTCCACTAAGATGTGCATCAGAATATCTAGAAATGACAGAAGAATTTGAAGATGGAAATCTCATTTCAAAGACAGAGTCTTTTCTCACATTTGTAGTGCTTGCTTCGTGGAAAGATACCACCACTGTTCTTAAATCTTGTGAAACTCTATCTCCATGGGCTGAAAACCTCCAAATTGTCAGAAGATGCTGTGACTCGATTGCATGGAAGGCTTTCAAAGAAAACACAGCTGCGGATGCAGCAAATGAGGAAGGCTGGTGGTTTGATGATGTGGCGACCCTTCGGATTGATCACTTTATGAGGATCATAACAGCAACAAGAGCAAAGGGAGCAAAACCAGAGATCATAGGCAAGTGTATCATGCATTATGCAGATAAGTGGTTGCCACTGATGGATGAGCAGTTGGAAGGACTACGGGGATTTGGTTTTGGAAAGAATGAGCTGCAGTTTAGTATCTTGAGAGGAAGAGTAGAAGAAGGCACTATTGGACATAAGGAACAGAGAACAATAATAGAAAACTTAGTAAGCATCCTTCCTCCTCAAGATGGGGCTGTTTCATGTAAGTTCTTGTTAAAGATGTTGAAAACAGCAATGGTGTATTCTGCATCACCAGCTTTGATTTCAGACCTTGAGAAAAGAGTTGGAATGATGTTAGAAAATGCTACTGTGAATGATCTTTTGATTCCTAATTACAAAAACGAAGATCACGGAAGATTGCTTAAGTGAGTAATCTGCACTCTCTCTAGATAATGTAACAATACAAACAGGTGAGTTTAATCAGTTACATTAATTTGAACTGACCTGGATTTTCATTCATAATCCAGTTCCCCTGAAAATTGCACAATGCACAACATAGATGTGGTCCAAAGGATTTTGGAGTATTTCTTGATGCATGAACAACAACAGCAACAGCAACAAAAGACTGGGAAAACTAATGTTAGCAAGCTCTTGGACAATTACTTAGCCGTGATTGCAAGGGACCCAAATCTCTCCATCACTAAGTTTCAAGTTCTAGCTGAAGCATTGCCAGGAAATGCTCGAACATGTGACGATGGTCTCTATAGAGCCATTGATACCTACCTCAAGGTTATCCATTATTCCACTCTATCCACTTCTCATGAAGCATACTAATGCTTTATGATCTTGTAACCTAATACTTTTTCAGACCCATCCTTCACTATCTGACCATGATCGAAGAAAGCTGTGCAAAATAATGAACAGCGAGAAGCTCTCACTTGATGCATGTACACATGCTGCACAGAACGATCGATTGCCCATTCAGAACTGTCATCCAGGTATTTTCTTATCCAAATATTCCTAATAATGTAACATTCCGCAAGAATTATAGAAAATTCAGGGTAACATTAATAAATATACTTTCTAAAGAAAGAGTTATATTCATATAAATGTGAGTTCAAAATAAACCACAAAACCCATAGTTAGATATAAGTGTTTAGAATGCAAGGATAGAAGCATAAAATTCCAAATGTCAAGAGACCCTTGAAGTTCCTATACAAGGACAAAATAAAGATGTATTTTTGTTTGAGACGGTCGGCCAAGTGGTGGGGTGGTGGAAGGGAAGGAAAGAGAGGAATTCATTATATTAAGTTGAACAGAGAGTAGGTATCCAATGAATGGCACATGTATTTGTGTGAATTCCTGTTCTACAAATATTTAGTTACAGAATTTATCCACATTCGCCATCCCAGTATTTTAGGGAACAAACATTTGGATAATGAAGGTCATCCATGGTGGTACCCTTAAAACTAATCAATTAAAAGTGGATCTGAGAGCAGGATTCCCAAACTAAAATGCTCCAGGAATGAGTAACAGAGTTAAGCAAGTGACTACAAAAGCACTTATTAGACATAGGGTCAATATGTTCGGTATCAATAGAATATGCTCATCATATAACACTTTTCACCCAAGGAATAGAGGCTGAGACATGCAGGTGCTTTTCTCGGAGCAAGTGAAAATGAGGATGGCAATGCAAGGCAAGAAGCCAGAAGCACAAGGTAATACTTCGGAGCAGGAGGAAAACCAATCTTCCACAAACATGGAGATCAAGACCCTCAAGGAAGAACTTGAGAATGTAAAAGCAAAGATGGCAGAGCTTCAAAATGACTATTCTGAGCTTCAACAAGAGTATGAAAAGCTCAGCAACAAGCACAAGAATGAATCTGGTTGGAGTTTGGGTTGGAAGAAGATCAAGAAATCTTTCTATATAAAACGAGAAGAAGAAGAAACTGGAGACGAACAGCAAAGAACAAACCACACTACTAGTAGAGTCAGCTTGAGAAGCAGACTATCAATGTCCTAATTATTTTATACATCAAACATCCTTTTACATATGTTTTTAATCCACCCAAGAAGCCTCAAATTTCATCATGCATATGTCAAACCAAACTTTGACTGGTTTTGTAAAGATCAATGGCAAAGTCCACAAACATTAAAGTTCTTTGCCTATATATGTAGAATTACTTAGCTTAGCTTCATCAAGATATACAATAAAGCTTGATGCCCAGCCTATTGTTAAACTATAACAAAAGTTCCAAAGATAAAAGAAGCCTTGTCTAATCAAACGAGTAAATTATATGTTATTCTCTCCCATGGGCGCACAGAACCTTAGCATTCTAACTCCAAAATCCATGCAAGCAGAAATACATGACTAGCAAATCTCATAGAAGGTTTCTAGGGGAAAAAATTCAGGTCTAGAACTTGCATTGTATACCAAGGCATTGGATTAAAAAAAGAATTAATAAAAATAATACAAATATTTGGTCAGTTCTCGTGCATCTCTAACATTCCAGGCTATGAAAATGGGTCATGTCCAGTGCATATAAGCTACCATTTCAAGGGCAATCCTTCATATCCTACTGAAACAGCTCCCATCCACTTATCAGATCATATCAATCACATAAACACCAAATCTTACATCATTAGCCTCTTATTAATCCCATACGAAGTTGGTACAGAATAATAACCCGAAAAGGCACACCAAAAGAAGAAAAAAAAAAGGACGTTTGTCGACAGCCCTACCTTACACTCCTCATGCTGCTCCATGGAAACTTCGCCCCAGATGCCATGGCCTCCTTGTCACCTCTACCACGAAATCTACCTCTCTCATTTCCACTACTCTCTTTGTCCTTCTCATCAAGCCAATGTTTCTTCTTTCCATCCCCTTCCTCCACGAAGCTCGACCCCTTCTCCTTGCTTCGCTTCTCTTCCTCTATAAACCTTATAGGGAACAGATCCTGCGATATCGACAATGGGTTCTTCAGGGTGACGTAGGCTTTCTTGTAGTCCGGTTTTGCAATTAACAGGCCCCCACGCTTCTTCTTCTTCCCTTCCATGTTGAGCGTGCGGACCTTGTCAACCTCGAAACCGTAGAGAGATTCGAGAACGCGCTTGATCTCGATCTTGGAGGCTGACGGAATTGTTTTGAGTGCGATTTCTCTGATGTTGGTGAAAGTGTTGGGCATGAGGAGCTTAATTGGTAGGTTTGCGAAGTGAACGACTCTTCTTCCAAGTCTGCTTCCCATCTCTAGAGCTTTTTGTTCCCTCTGCAATTGCTTGCTTCTGAAGGAGTGAGGAGAGAGTATGGAGGTTTTCGCGAGGGTTTTGCTCCTTTGGCGTCAGTCGCTCTCGCAGGCTCGAGTTTCTCTGTTTTGCGAATTCTGGGGTTTCTGCTTTGGGCCGCTGTTCTATCTAATGAGTTGGTCCAGAATTGTACAGATAACAATAGATATTAATTTTTTTTTTGTAAATATATTAAAATAATATTTAAAATGTAATATTTACTCAATTTTATGATTAAAAAAAATATATAATTTGTAGCTATTCAGTTAGAAAAATTAACCAATAAACTGTAGCTTCTCTTGACAACGAGGTTCATGCACGTGAAAAGTTCGATTTTGGTTCAGAATCAATATTTTGAATAAAATATTTGAAAGATTATTGGGTAAAATGAGATTTGCAATTCGTATATATAATTTTAAAAATTAACTATGTAATATATAAATCATAATTAACTCAAAATATAAATTTATTTTTATTTATAAATTTTAAACAAATAACTAGTATTAAAATTTATTTTTATATTTAAAAATTATGCAATGTATGATTTAAAGCCAATTTAAAACTGTATCTTTAAATTAATTATTGGGTAAAGTGGATAATATTTAAAATTTTATCTTTATATAATATATATTTATAATAATTATTATATATTACCAAAATTAATTTATATTTAAAAATTGTAGAGCATCTGTGTTATAATTAATTAAAAATTAAATTTTGTTTTTATATTTTAAATTTTGAGTAGATAATGTTAGACTTTAATAATTGAAATAATATATATTTATAATTAATGTTGATAATATTATTTTTATTTTTAGAAAAACGAAAATATTATGTGATGTTCTCTTAAAAAAAAAATCACCATTTGCAGAGTTGGAACATCCCGTACTCACATGCAAGGGAATGGGAATTCAAGCCCTATGTACTCTCTAACTGAGGTTTTAGTCCGCTTGTTCTTAAGAATTCACTAATTAAGCAAAATTAAATTACAACTCATATTACCACAATATATTATACATATATACCATTATATATATACACACATATATATAACTAGACTGTGTTTTATGATTAGAAATATAGGATGTAATAAAGAGCTATAGTTTTAATCACATTTATTGTACTATTTTATTTTCTTCAACTTATTCCATGTACTCTTAAATCCTTATACTTGTAAAAATAACTCATATTAGTCTTAATTTGTTATTTTTTGTTATCATTATTAATATATTATTTACGTATTAGTCCTAATTTATTAGTTTTTGTTACCATTATTTATATATTATTTACATATCATTAAATTTGATATGTAATATTATTTAATTAACTATTTTTCATATCCAATGTTAAGTGGTACGGGCAAAATATCTAACAATAATTTTTTTTTAATTTAATAGAAAAATTAAAAATCAAAATTAAAAACCAACTGGGTTATGTTCATATCTTTTTCTCAATTCTTTAAACTCCATTAATGGAAGGCATACATCTAGCAGCTTTCAAACATTATGTTTGATCTTTATGTATCTCAAACTAGATAACATAAAATTTTAACCCCCAATTATAATAATAAGAAATATGATATGATATTTAATAAAAAAAAAATTTAATCAGATAACATCGCGTGTTAAAATATGATAACACGTGATAGATATGCGACAATTATTAATAAATAATAATTAATATAAATAACTTTTAAAAGTACAGAAATAAAAAAATAAAAAAATAAAATTTAACAAAATAAATTAGTACAAGAATTAAAAATATATTTGAACTAAAAGTTATATCTATTAAATTTGCCAACAACATTTTTTTTTTTTTTAAATTTTATATATTGAGCTATAGGCTTGGAATAGAAGTACAACTCTGATGATTTGCTTCACAAAGGAAGACATAGAGGTTTATTAATCACAATCACGCCCTTTATGCACAAAATAAAGTACAGTAGAATTTTATTTCATAATTTCTTCATGTTGTGCTATTTATTTATTTATTTAATAATATATTGTAACCCATCAAGCATTACCACTGTTTTTGCTACAATATGGCCAGCGTCCTGCATCAGTTTATGCCTTTTAAAGAGACCAGATAAAAAAAAAAAAAAAAAAAATTTCTTTCAACGTTCATACCAATAACCACTGCATAAGGAGCTTTATTCAAAATAAGAAAAACATTACACAAAGAGCATGAGACTACATGAAATGCCCTTAGTTTATCCTATTTGTTATTGCCAGAACAAATATCAAATTCGCGTCTCAATGAATGCAAGATGTAATGTGACTTCTAGACAACCTACAATTAGGGGTGAGTACATTTCTAGAATTTCTGGTTACTCTCTTACCCCGACTACATAAAATTTGTGAAACTGGATGAAATGTCTATTAGCTGGGCTATCATAATACCTCCCACCTTAGACTGTCACGTTTTTTAAGATTCCTTTTTCTTAAGTTGATATGGATATTTCTGGTATATTGAAATGCTGCTGATAACAAGCGGAAGAGCAAGGATGCAATACAATGAAGGCGGTTCCCCTTCAAAAATGAACTGAAATAATGCTGTCACGAGAAGTGCTGAAACAATGACAAACCCCTGCATGCATTTGACCACGCATGTATTATTTTAGAATAATTTAGATATCAAAAGTCAATGGAAAAGAAAAAAAGAACTGATTGACCAACTTCGAAGTTTCCGATTGAAACAGTCTTTAGTTTACCAAACTTGGAAAACTAGTTGTCATGGGTCTTGTTTAATTGAAGAAAACTGTTTTAATTTTTTATTTCTAATTTTATTTTTTTACATAGCAAACTAGTAGTTACTGAAAGTAAAAGAAAGATTTGAAAATGATTATAACACTGTGACTTGAGTTTGCAAAAGAACAAACAAGTTATTTTCAAGCTCATTATAGTTTCATTACTATTTTTTTCAAACTCATGTTATAATTTCACTATTATTTTTCAACAAATATATATATTTATATATAAACATGTATGAAATAGTAAGTGAAAATTCAAAAGATCTATATATTTAGAACAGCTTTCTTCTGACACCCCAACCCGCACCCTGTCTATACATGTGCAATGGATTATGTAGATTTGAGATGTATACAGGAAAATTACTGATAACAAGGTCAATACTCTTACCTTTCTAACACCACCAGCATAGCTTGTAACCAGGCCAACAAGAATTCCACCCAGAGCATTGCTTAAGACTGGAATCTGAAACATAAAAATGAACAAGTTTGTTCAGGTAGACCAACTTGCCTAAAGCTAAAGTCTGTGCGCAGTTGCAGGTGGAAGATGAGCAGCCTCATAGCACAATTTTTAGGCTAAAGCCTAGAATCACCATGCAGATATCAAGAAAAGAATGGTCATATGCGATTAGCTTGGGAACAAACCAGGCATCATCAGGAACACAAGCAGAAAAGAGAATGGGTCCATAACAAGCAAAAACCACTTAACACAAACATACACCTTTCGATATAGATGATTGTGTTGACTTTACACCTAATGGGTAAACCAGACCATAGAGCAGATTTTGCTTCACTTATAAAGACATAGCTTTAGAGCTGATAAAAAAGAGATATAGCATCAGAGGACTGCAAAAAAATAAGAGCCCGTATCTTTTTTAAGTTTTTCAAAACTAGTAGTTGAATGTAGTCTTCCAATTCCAAGATATACACCACCTTCTCAACAACATGCATCAATT